ATTGCAGAGTGTCTCGGGGCGGGGGGGGGGGTGTACTCATGTTTGCATGCCTCTGGTGGTAGACCATTGACCACGCGTCCTCGACGGAGCATTGTTCGCAGAGGACCGATCGCCGATGTCCAATCTTTCCTTGATACTCTGTTAGAGGTGGCTCAGAAAAGTTTTCCCTATCCTGTCAGTACAGTATCACTTCTCGAGTGTCTGAGGAATTCAGGCCGGCGACGGTCTTGAGCACGCCAGAATGAAGCTATTGCCGCGCCGACAAAAGGTCCAAGAAACGCCGTTAGACTTGCTCAAACAGCAACGCATAAGATGTGCCAATCGATTCGATTCGATCCCTCTTTCCGGCAAATTGCAAGCATCCTTTCTCTCTCTCGCTCTCGCTTCTTTTCAGTCACCAACGGGGGTGGGTGGGTGGGCGGGCGGAGCACAAAACGAAGCCGCAACGACTTCACGAAAACGGTCACTCACTCGAGCTCAAACTACCACACACGTTTTCTCACACCGACACACCTCTTGCGAACTTTGTTGACTCCATTCTTCCTTAACTCCTCACCTTCTTCTTCACCCGGGCCCCCTCTAGCTTCCAGGGGATCTTCACCCTCCCCCGGGTGCCACTCTTCGCTCCCGCTTTACCCCTCCCTTTCTCTTTCCCTTCGACGCCTCTGCCGCCAAGGGGAGGAAACAACGGCAGCCCCGACCTCACGCGTGACCAGGCCGCTACCCCGAGAACCGCGAATCCCGCCGCTGTGTCCAAACCCACCGAATGGAAGAGCCCGTGGTTGTTCGGGATGAGCTGGATCGGGAAGGTGAGACCGGACTTGGAAAGGTGCAGCTGTTCCGCGCGTGGCAAAACACGGCCCCGGAGGGGGTGGAAACAAGAGGGCGGACGGGTGGCGAGGAAGCCACACGTGTTGTTGTCAAACTTCGGGGGTATTGTTCCGCTCAAAAACAGACGCCGCAACAATCGGAACGACTTGTGATTGCTCGAAATGAAACGGTGGCGTCGGGAGAACCAGTCAGGGGATAGGGGGGCAGCAGCAGGAGGTGCTCTCTTGTCCGACTTGGGGGAACTGAGGAAGCTACCGGTAAACAAGATCGACGCTACACCAGTATCATTTGGGAGCCCGTGCAATGTTCCACACATACGCCAGTGTTATTACCCGCTTGCCCTGCGTCATACAGGAGGCATTTCCATCGCCCAAGCGTGAAAAAATCGCAAACACCCACCT